ATAAAATTAGCACCAAGACAAAAGTATGCCAAATTACAGGGTCTTTATTGCTGGTGGCCACGGAGGACTCACGTCTCTCCAACCCGTGGCCCCGAAAGGAGGGTGCCAAGACCTTTTATACTCATAAAAATTACCTTGGGAGTGAGGGTGAGGGGCGGGGATGGGGGTGAGGGGCTTCAGACATTCCTCGGGCTAGTGGATTCTGCAAATCACCTTCTGGGCGGAGATGAGGGTGAGGGGATTCCGGACATTCCGAGGGCCAGGGGACTATTTGACATTCTGATTGATACTTAAGTGGTTCACAAAAGCCAAGATTAGCATTTGTTTACACATTGTCTGGGTAGGGTGGCGATCACAGTCCTTGATTACTTGTTCACATTTGGGTTATAGAGAGCAGTTTCAACAGAAAGCCGAGGTATGGTTGAGGTATGCAGTTTTATGGGGCTTTTTACATGTCACAAGCTGGCCATGGTGGCATGCACTTGTGGTCCCAGCAAGTTGGGAAGCTGAGATGGGAGGATCCCTTGAGCCCAGGAGACAGAGGCTGTAGTGACTCATGACCATGCCACTTCACTCCAGCCTGGGTGACAGAGTGAGAGCTTGTCTCAAAAACAAACAAACAAACAAATAAACAACAATAACAACAAAAAAACGCAAAACAACCGCAAGCCGCCCCCTGGCTCCTCATGCAGCTTTGACCTCCTTGCAGAGGCCCAGAACTCATTAGCTTCTGAGTGGCGGGTCGGGGGGGTGGGTGGAGGAGGCAGAGCGTGATGGAGGACACAGTGCGGGGCAAGCTGCTGCCCTGGGGTCACCTACATGAGGCCCCCATTTCCTCTGTTCCTTTAGTTGCCTTCATTCACCCTGTGACCTCAGCTGTTTCTGGGGTGTTCCTCTCTAGTCTCAGAGCGCTTGTTCCATCCCATCACTGCCAGTGGCCATCCGCCATGTGCCAGAGGGCATGGTGTTGGGCAGGGTAAGAGGCACCACTCTCATCTTCTTTTAGTGCAGCTGCAGGCCGGGAACTGGTGCTTTCTTTAAGCACAGCTCTGTGGCAAGCACTATAGGAATGTTACTGAAAAAGGTTTCTGAACCAGACCCCAAAAAAGAGTTCTTGGAGCTCAGGCAAGAAAGAATTCAGAATGAGAGTCCACAGAGTAGAGTGAAAGTAAGTTTATTAGAGAAGTAAGGAAACAAGGGCCAGGCGCGATGGCTCACGCCTGTAATCCCAGCACTTTGGGATGCTGAGGCAGGAGGATCATTTGAGCCTGGGCAAAAAAGTGAGCCCCCATCTCTATAAAATAAATAAATAAAAGAGAAATAAAGAAACAAAGGAACGGCTACTCGACTGGCAGAGCAGCCCCCAGGGCTGCTGTCGGGCTATTATGGTTATGTCTTGATCATATACTAATAAACAAGAGGTGGATTATTCATGAGTTTTCTAGGAAAGGGGTGAGGACTTCCCAGAAGTGAGGGTTCTGCTTCATTTTAGACCAGGGAGGGTAACTTCCAGATGTTGCCATGGCATTTGTAAACTGGCAGTTGTGCGAGCATCTCTTAGCATGCTAATGCATTATAATTAGTGCATAACGATCAGTAAGGCCAGGCACGGTGGCTCACGCCTGTAATACCAGCACTTTGAGAAGCTGAGGTGGCAGATAACTTGAGATTAGGAGTTTGAGACCAGCATGGCCAACATGGTGAAACCCTGTCTCTGCTGAAAAAGGAAAAAGAAGAAAAGATCAGTGAGGATGATCAGCAGTCACTTTCATTGCTCTCTTGGTTTTCCCGTATTCTTATTGGCTTCTTTACCTCATTTTGTTTTATCAGCAGGGTCTTGTGACCTGTCCCTTGTGTGGGCCTCCTATCTCATCCTGTGACTAAAAATGCCTGACCTCCTGGGAATGCAGCCCAGCAGGTCACAGCCTCATTTTATCCAGCTCCTGTTCAAGATGGAGTCACTCTGGTTCAAACGCCTCTGACAGGGACACATGAAGATAAGTGAGAATCATCGCTGTGTTCTAGACATGGGGACATGGTTAGGCTTTTGTCCCAACCTTGAATTATAATCCCCATAGTCCCTGTGTGTCAAGGGAGAGACCAGTGGAGGTCATTGAATCATGTGGGCAGTTTTCTTTTCTTTTTTTTTTTTTTTGAGACAGAGTTTCACTCTTGTTACCCAGGCTGGAGTGCAATGGCGCAGTCTCGGCTCACCTCAACCTCCACCTCCTGGGTTCAGGCAATTCTCCTGCCTCAGCCTCCTGAGTAGCTGGGATTACAGGCACATGCCACCATGCCCAGCTAATTTTTTGTATTTTTTTTTAGTAGAGACAGGGTTTCACCATGTTGACCAGGATGGTCTCAATCTGTTGACCTTGTGATCCACCCGCCTCGGCCTCCCAAAGTGCTGGGATTACAGGCTTGAGCCACTGTGCCCGGCTATGCGGGCAGTTTTCTGCATGCTATTCTCGTGATAGTGAATGAGTTCTCACGAGAGCTGATGATTTTATAAGTTGCTCTTCTCCTCTTTGGTTTGCACTTCTTCCTGCCGCCCTGTGAGAAAGGTGCCTGCTTCCTCTATGCCTTCTGCCACTATTGTAAGTTTCCCGAGGCCTCCACAGCCATGCTGAACTGTGAGTCAATTAAACCTCTTTCCTTTATAAATTACCCAATCTCAGGGAGTTCTTTTTGTTTTTTTGTGTGCGTTTTTTCTGAGATGGAGTCTCACTCTCTTGCCCAGGCTGGAGTATGGTGGTGTGATCTTGGTTCACTGCAAACTCTGCCTCCCGAATTCTCCCTCAGCCCCTCCAAGTAGTTGGGATTCCAGGTGTGCACCACCACGCCTGGTTGATTTTTGTATTTTTAGTAGAGACGGGCTTTCACCATGTTGGCCAGGCTGGTCTTGAACTCCTGACCTCAGGTGATCCACCTGCCTCAGCCTCCCAAAGTGCTGGGATTACAGGTGTGAGCCAGCGTGCCTGGCCTTCGGCAGTTATTTTTCATAGCAGTATGAAAACGAGCTAATACACGTGGTCACGCAGCGTACAAAGCACATCTACTACCACTTTCTCCTGGATTGTCACCACATCCGAGAGGACATAGAAGACGAATCTGTTGTTTGCAAAGGAGAAAAAGGAAAGCTACAGTTTGGTTGACATTCGTTGAGTACCTATTTCTTAGGCACTAGGTTTACCTCTGCAACAGGATAGAACTGTAAGTGGCCCTGGCATCTGAGTCAATCCGTAGAGCCACTGTCTGTCGAGTAGGGCTGGGTCCTGAAATGAGTAGCAGCCAGAACAGGTCCCTCCAGGCCATAGTCCGCTGGGAGCGCGGGACCTTTTAACTAGGGCTGGAGCCTGGCGTCCCCTGGTGGCAAGCTGCAACCTCTACCTACCAAACCCAAGGCCAGCCTGAGACCAGCCACCAGTTCACAGCCTTGTTTTACAAGTGGAAAACCTCAGTCCAGAGAAAGACCCGGGCTTGCTGAGGCAGAATGACTTTCATCTCTGCCTTGTGGACTGTAATCTGTCTGGTGAAGCATTATTGCTGTTCTTGTTACTAGAAATCAAAATTGAGAGGATCAAGGCAGAACACTGCTGTTTGCTGGGCCTTCCTTTATTCCATCTTGAGATGGGTGTGATGAGCCCGTTTTACAGAGACGAAAAGTGAAGCTCAGAGAGGCTAAAGAAATTACTTTCCCAGGCTCACACAGCCAGCCAATGGCAGAGCCAAAATTTGGACCCAGGTCTGACTCTAAGCTCACCCGCCAGATCCTGGAGTTTCACCTCCGGTCTCCTCTTCCCCAACAGCACCCCAACCTCCCAACTTCTTGGTGTGCTGATCTGGGACAGCAGAACCTCAGCAGCAATAAGTCCTTAGCTCCCTACTTGGTGTCATCGTGTCATTCAGACACAGCCAGTTACTACTCCTTGGCCTAAGCTGGGGAGGGAGACTGGGGGTTGGGAAGAGATGCTGGACAGGGAGACTCAGGGACTTCTGGTGGGGCTGGTTTAGTGAGGCTGAGGATCTAAGCCAGAATTCAAGACCTAGGTAGCGATGAGATCTTGAGCAAGCATCTTTATTTCTGTGAGCCTCAGCTTTTTCAGCCAAAAAGTGGGAAATTACACCAATGCTTTGACAGCCTCACTTAGGAAAAAAGTCCAGGTTTGGAGTTAGACTTCAGCGTTAGATTTTGTTTGAAACCCTGGACCTCCCACTGACTAGTGACGTGGTCTGGGCCAGTTACTTCACATCTCTGAGCAGATTCAGATCCTGAATCTGTAAAGTGGGTTGTGGTGGGCATTTAGGGAGGTGACTGAGCTGGGAGCACTTTGGCAAATGTGTGGCTTTATAAATGATGCTGGTTTTTTTTTAGCACTCCCTTGGGGTTGGGGCTCTGGGTTGGGAGGGGAAATTGGGACCGGAAAAATGGCACCCCGTCAACCTTTCCCCTGAACCCAGGCACATTCATTCTCATTCTGCATCCTGTGCACCCACCAGATGGGTTTCTCCAAGCCTGGTACCCTCCTCCTTTCCACCTTGTCTGAGGACCTGAGGCCCCTTCCCTGTTCCCACCTAGTTCAGTTGCAAACTGCAGAGGATGGCCTGAGTTTCCATTCTTCATTTTGGAGGCTCCAGCTGCAGCCTCAGTCTTCCGCCCCGAGGGAATCTGTTGGATGATTTGGGTTGATCCTTAGGAGGCGAGAGGGCCAGCTCCAAGGCCTGTGACCGAAACCTTTCAGTCACTTTCAAGTCCCAGAACCCTATCTTTCTTGAACCAAGCCTGCTCTGGTGCCCAAAGGGAAGGGGTGTCAGCAGTGGGGCCTGCAGGAGACTTCTCCTGTGGTCCAGTGTTATCTGTGACGCTGCTGGTCTGGAACCCACAGCACTGCCCAGCCCCCCCCCATCTCTGGCCTCAGTACTGGCGTTGCCAGTACCCAGAGAGAGAGGGAGGAGGGGGTGAGGGCTGCAGAGTGAGGGAGGCTGACAGGAGGCGGGACTCTGGGGGGCTGAGGACTATAAAGAGGCCAGCCGAGTCCTGGGGCCCATCCGGCCTGAGGCAGGTGCCCGCTTGGTCCAGTGCCCATTTACTCCGGACTCCGGGTAAGTGGGCTCAGCCTGCCTGGGGCTCTGGGGGCCTCTCCCAGGCTGTGGCCTGGGATGGAGACAAGAAGCTGGTGCTTTGCAGGGCCAGGGACCTCGGGAAGCCTAAGGTCCTGCTTGGTCTTGCGCTACTTCTGGACAGACCTGTCATGCTAGAGCCGTCTGCTGACTGCAAGTGTGTGTGCATACTCATGTGCTTGGCTGTGAACTGGAATGTGTGACTGTGACCTTGTGAGTGACCGGGGTTCCTGTGTGAATGCCTGTGCCAGTCTGTTCCTCTACCTTGGGGATGAGGGCCAGATCCACAAGGCCATGGATTTCTGTCCATTGCTTCCCAGGTTCATTCTGTGTCCCACACCCTGTGGGTGACCTGGCATGCCCTTATTTCCCATTAGCTGCTGCCGCCTCGGAGCCGTGAGGCCCTGGATGTCGTGAGTCCTATCTCTCCAGGACTCATTTCCCCATTTTTTCTGCTACACTTTTCTGACTTGGGAGGTCCCAGCTGCTGGGCTCTCACAGGACAGGCTGTCCATGCCTCTAGGGCAGTGTCTGGGAGGTGGAGTAGTCAGCTCAGAGTGGCCCTTTGCTCTGCCCCCTTGTCCCCAGCTTAGAGAAGTGGATGATGGGCCAAGAGGCTGGATAGATGGGCCCTGCTTCCTAGGCACAGGAAAATCTTCCACCTCCACCTCCTCTCTGCTTGCTCCTCAGATGGCTGCTGCACGCCACTGCCTCTCCCTGCTGCTCCTGTCCACCTGTGTGGCTCTGTTACTGGAGCCACTGCTGGGTGCCCAGGGAGCTCCGCTGGAGCCAGTGTACCCAGGGGACAATGCCACGCCAGAGCAGATGGCTCAGTATGCAGCTGATCTCCGTAGATACATCAACATGCTGACCAGGCCTAGGTGTGTGCTGTGGCCAGGGAGAGAGATCTCAGCCCCGGGGACCCTGGGCCCACCCGACAGTCCTGGCCATGCCCTATCTCCAGTCCCAGCCCTTCCAGGCCTGCTCTTGGGAAAACAGGGCATCTGTGCTGAACAGACCTGGGCCTGTGTGCCCTGGGCAAGATGGTGCCTACAGGCAGTTATGAAATGGGGGGCTGGCACCTGAGCACAGCACTTGCTGCAGCTGCCTCTTCCCTCCCAGGTATGGGAAAAGACAGAAAGAGGACATGCTGGCCTTCTCAGAGTGGGGCTCCCCCAATGCTGCTGGACCCTGGTGAGTTTGACTCCCTGTCCTGTCTGTCCAGCTCCCTGGGGCTGAAGTAGGGGTGGTGGGACTAAATCAGGCCTTGAAAAGGTGTGGTGGGGGTGTGTAAGAGGGAGAACAGGAGCCCAGGGCCAGCCTGAGGCCTCCTGAGGCCTCCTGAGAGCACGAGGCCTGCCCCCTACACTGCTGTCTTCTGCCCTGTCCTCCTAGGGAGCTCAGCCTATGGACTTGTAATGCCACCTCCTGCCTCTGATGACTCCATGGGCAGTGCCAGCCCAGCTCTCCCCTCCGCACCCTTGGCTCTGGCCAAAGTTTGCTCTCTGCTCCACACAGGCCCAATAAAGCAAGTCAAAGCCACAGCCTGTCCTGTGTCTCTGGGGACCCCTGGTGGGGGGCAGCAGGAAGTACCAAATGCAAGGGAGAGAAAGGGGAGGGCAGGGTGGAGGCAAAGGGGATCATCCAGAAGGTTGGTGGGGTCATCAGAGTCACTCAGCTCATTCTCTCCACTTCACACAGGGACAAGTTGTGGCCAGAGGAAGGCAGGGAATCCTCCATGGTTTTTCAGGAAGTCTGTGAAGTGGCAGTCTTGAGTTTGAATCTTCCCAGTTCAGCTGCTGTAGACCACCCCCCCCCATGGCCCGATGACAACCCTGCCCCAAGCGCACCCCTCACGAGTGCCTTCCTGCAGCCCGGGCAGCAGAAGCACCCACATTTATACTAAAGCATTCTTGGCAGGGAGGGGGAATGATTCTGGTGCTACAGCAGTCATGGCTGCCTCCAGGGGCCTGAGCTGCCATCCAGAAATTTGGAGAGAATGGGCTGCCTGGAGAGGTAATGAAGTCCTGGGCACCGGAGGTATTGAAGCTGCTGTGGAAGGGGAGGAGGCTAGATTAGCTGAGTTCCAGCCACCGCCATGAGTTGAATCTGTGGATTCCACACTCCAGCTCTGGGAGGGCGAGGACCTGGATCCTGCCCCAGGGAGGACTGCCCAGAGTCCCAGAGCACCTGTCTCTTGTTGGCTCTTCTCAGGCACCCTGAATAGGTGGGGACAGTGCACGTGTGTGTGTGTGTGTGCACGCGGCTGTGTAATGGGGAGAAGTGAGGGAACTAGAATGTTTCCGGGTCCTAGAATGGCTTCTCCTGCCTCCCCCACATACTTGGCCTCAAGGGATGGGATTATCAGTTTGGAGGATGAGGCATCCACTTTCCTGGGATCTGTACCTTGCACAGAAATGGAAATGACACCACAGTTGTGTTTCCCCTCAAGTCCTGACTCCATCTGGTGTGTGCAAATGACCTGGAAGCAGAACCAGGTCCTAAAAGGCAAAGAACTTCTAGAGGATGCAGATGCTTGGCTCAGGTTGATTTTTTGTTTGTTTTTGGAGACAGGGGGTCTTGCTCCGACACCCAGGCTGGAGTACAGTGGCATGATCACAGCTCACCGTAGCCTTGACCTCCTAAGCTCAAGCAATCCTCCTGCCTCAGCCTCCCATGTAGCTAGAACTACAAGCACATGCCACCACACCCAGCTTTTTTTTTTAAATTTTGTAGAGACAGGGTCTTTTTTTTTTTTTTTATTTTTTATTGGATTTTAGGTTTTGGGGTACATGAGCATAGCATGCAAGACAGTTGCGTAGGTACACACATGGCAGTGTGCTTTGCTTTTCTTCTCCCCTTCACCCACATTTGGCATTTCTCCCCAGGCTATCCCTCCCCTAGAGACAGGGTCTTGCTATGTTGCCCAGCGTGGTCTCAAACTCCTGGGCTCAAGTGATTTGCTCACCTCGGCCTCCCAAAGTTCTGGGAGTACAGGTGTGAGCCACCGTCTCTGACCTCAGGTTGATTCTTAAATCCAAGGGGTGTCTGGAAGGAGAGATGGTTTTGCAAGAGAAAGGTTTGAGTCTGGGTGAAGGAGCCTGAAGTTCCAGCATTTTCTCTGGCAGCTTAAGGGGATGGGCTATGAATGGGGAGAAGTGGATACTTCCTACCCCCAGGAGTTGGCACCCTGGAGACACAGATGAACCTGGATGTGAGAGTAGGATCAGGGCAGGGCTCTTCCCCCACCAGGTCTCTCGGATGGCCATGGGAGCCCCCAGAAGAGAGAGCCACCCTCACACCCAGCTTCTCAGGGACAGGCCCTGGCCAGGATCCACCCCTTCCCCTGCTTTGTTGACCCCAGAAGGTGAACAAAGCAGGGAAAGGGACTTCACCCTTAGAAGTCCAGGAGGCACAGGCGGCCCTCTAGGCTGCACGCTGAGGGGCAAAGGCACCTCTTCTTGTTCCTGTGCCAACTCTGATAGCCCAAGCTGGGCTGTTGGGTAGAAACTTGAGCCAGGTGGGAGTGGGAGTGTGTCTAGCTGAAGCCCCTCCTGCTACTCTCACCTCTTCTCTACCTCTGGGTTAGAACTCCCCATGCTGGTGGTGGTGTGTGGGATAAGGTGGGGGAAGGTGGATGGGTTGCTGAGGGAGGCAGGGGAGGACCCCTCCCAGCCCCCCCCCCCCCCCCCCCCGCCCAGACGTCTGTTTCTCTCACAGCAGGAACTCCAGGGTCCCCCTTCCCCCTCGATGGACCGGTCACTCCCTGCCCCCAGGCCCACAGAAGTCACTGAAGCAACAGAAATTTGTCTTTATTGTTTTCACTGAGAGGGGTGAATGCCCCTCTCAATAGAAAGGGGTTGGTGGGCCGGAGAGGCGTCTGGAGGCTAAGGCCCAGCCTGGAGAAGCAGCTCCCCCGAGGCGCTGGTATGCCCCTGCACGCCTGCCCCCGGGAGCTTCCTCTCTACCACCCAAGCTGCCCCGAGACCCCGGGCTCGGTGCCAAGCGTCCAGGCTGTCCTAGCTGGGGCCCCGGGAGGAGGTCGTTGGTCCGGGTTCCCAGGTGTTCAGCCACTGGGGGTTCGTGGTGATCCAGTGGAGGGGGTTTAGTGGCTTTCGGTAGGGAGGTGCTCGTGGCATTCGCAGTTTTCTCATGGTTTTGAGATTTCTTCGGGCTGGGAACACGTCTTTGCAGCGGTCATGAGGCCGCTCCCCTAGCCCAGCTCACACCGCGATACGCGTGAGGGCGGCGAGTGGGGTCCGGGTTCCCCCAGCAGCCCCCGTTTTCCTCCCTCGCGCCCTCCGCCGGCCCACCTGTTGCTGAAGAACTTCCCCATATACTTCTTTTTTTTTTTTTTTTTTTTTTGTGACGGAGTTTCACTCTTGTTACCCAGGCTGGAATGCAATGGTGTGATCTCGGCTCACCGCAACCTCTCCTGGGTTCAGGCAATTCTTCTGCCTCAGCCTCCTGAGTAGCTGGGATTACAGGCACACGCCATTGTGCCCAGCTAATTTTTTGTATTTTTAGTAGAGATGGGGTTCCACCATGTTGACCAGGATGGTCTCGATCTCCTGACCTCGTGATCCACCCGCCTCGGCCTCCCAAAGTGCTGGGATTACAGGCGTGAGCCACCGCGCCCGGCCCCCCACATACTTCTTGATGGAGTCTAAGTTCAGCCAACTGGTGGCCCTGGGCTGCGGCTTTGGCAGCTCTTCGCCTAGGACGCCCTCCGGCGGCAGGAGCGGAGACAAGAGGCCCCGCTATGGACAAAGCGCATGCGCAGCGTAGCGTAGGCGCCTGGAGGGGGCGGGGCAGACAGAGCCGCGGCCGGTCACGTGATGCCGGAGATGGGGTCCGCGCGGCTCCTGGACCGGAGCTTGTTGGTGTTCCGCGCGGTGGGTGCAGGGGCGCTCAGACCGAGGGACGCGTCTGTTTCTGAGACACACCAGCGCACGGACGCCGTAACGGACATCCTCGTGCCCGGGGTAATGGTGCACACCTGGACATGCCCAGTGATTCAAGTAGAGCATCCAGGTAAAAATGAACCTGGAGGCCGGGCGCGGTGGCTACGCCTGTAATCCCGGCACTTTGAGAGGCCGAGGTGGGAGGATTACCTGAGGTCAGGAGTTCAAGACCAGCCGGACCAACATGACGAAACCCCCGTCTCTATGGAAAATACAAACATTAGCTGGGCGTGGTGGTGGGCGCTTGTAATCCTAGCTACTCGGGAGGCTGAGGCAGGAGAATTGCTGGAACCCGGGAGGTGGAGGTTGCAGTGAGCCGAGATAACGCCACTGTACTCCAGCCTGCTCGACAGAGCCAGATTCCGTCTCAAAAAAAAAAAAAAGAACGGGAGACACACCCTAAGGTGTTCACACGAGGATGGCATTGGTCAGCTCCTTAACCTCACCAACCTTTCTCCCACAAACTCCTTGCGCATCCCCCTCCTTTCTTCCTGCTGTTCTCGCTTTCTCTGCTTGGAAGACTCTTCCTTCAGACATCCTCATGGCCAGCTCTGTCGCCCCCTGTAAGCATTAGCTCAAAACCCACCTTTGAAATGGGTCCTTCCGTGACACATCTCTTTAAAACTGCAACCTGGCAGGGCATGATGGATCACACCTGTAATCCCAGCACTTTGGGAGGCTGAGGTGGGAGGACTGCTTGAGCCCATGAGTTCGAGACTAGCCTGGGCAAAAGAGAGAGCCCTGTCTCTACAATTTAAAAAATAAATAAATAAAATAATATTGCAACCCAACCCCTCATTTTGCTCTATCTTTTTCTTGCTCTCTTTTTGTACTTCTTTACTCTTCTTTCTTTCTTTTAAAGACAGGTCTTGTTTTACGTCCCAGGCTGTAGTGTAGTGTTGGGATCGTAGCTCACCACAGCCTCAAACTCCTGGGCTCAGGCTCTCCTCTTGCTTCAGCCTCCCAAGTAACTAGGTCTACAAGTGCATACAACCATGCCCAACTAAATTTTAATTTTTTGTAGAGATGGAGTCTTGCTATGTGGCCCAGACTAGTCTCAAACTTCTGGCCTCAAGTGATCCTCTTTGCCTCCCAAAGTGCTGGGATTACAGGTATGAGCCGCCACACTCGGCCTGTACTTTCTAACTTACTATACTCTAGATTTATTATGTTTGTTGTCTGAGTCCTTTCCCAGCAGCATCTCATCCCTCAATGTATCATTAATTACAACTGCGCTCTTTGCCTGTTTTGTCTATTGATGTATCATAAGCACCTAGAACAGGGGCTGACACTTAGTAATTATTCAATAATACATATTAAATGAATGACTAAGAGTCACACACAGGAAAGCCAGCCTGAGGATTCAAACACCCAATGCACAGAGAATTTTGTGTGCCTGCAACATACAATGATTCACAGACTATGATGCTTGTAAGCATCACACACACCCCCAGAGCTCCTAAGCCCCTCAACCCTCTTTTAACCAGGAACTCCCCTCATCTCTGCCACTCCACACAGGGATAAGAAGCCCTAGTAGCTGTTCTGGCCATCACGGTGGCAGACGAGGCTGCCCTGGTCTAACTCCTTCATGCCCTTAGTAGGCCTGAGGAGGGGCCCTTGGTGCCAGCCCCCATTCCCAAGCTCCTAGAGAATACGGCTGATAGGGAGCCCAGACTTGGTCAGCAGACATTACCATGGTGCTGGGCAGATGCAGAGGAGCACAGCAAAGCATCTGTGGCCAGGGCCTTTGAGGCCCTTTATATTCCTAAGGATCCATGCCCCCTTTCCCGCTAAGGCTCCACTCCCACCACAGCCTTCTTTTCCTCCCCGTGTGTCATGACCTGAACGTCCAGAACAGAGAGAAGGAGGGGGTGGAAGCACATGGGCTACTAGCTGTTCTGACCAGGGTGCAGTCCCTGCTGGGGGCCCAGAAGTGTGGGTGGTAGAGGCAGGGAGGCCTGGGGTGTAGGGTAACTTTCTGCTCCAAGTACACATATCCTACGGAGAAACTGTCTCTGGGGTTGAGAGGGGGCTGTGCTTTTCCCAGGGGCTACTGTCAGGGTTTGGGAGGCGGTTATGCTGAGACCAGATGCCCCTCCCCATCTGGCTGGATCCAAGGTGCCTCCTTTCCCTGCAGGGCTGCTGTGGGATCCCAGCACCCCTATTCCCCTCCCCTAGGCCCGCTGCCATGGGGAGGGGGTGGAGTTGCAGTTTCTGGTTTCAGGATGGCAGGCCCCACTGCACAGCCTGGAGATTTTCTCAGCCTGCTGGCCATTTTGGAGCCCCTGAGGCATGACCTACTGAGCCTTCTGGAGGCGGTGGGTCTTGGCTGCTTGGATGATGAACTTAGGCCTTGGCTGCCTCAGGCAACAGAGCCCAGCTATGTGGCCTGTCAGGTTCCCTCTACCTGCTCAATATCGGTGCTTTTTTAAGGTTGTGAAATGTGCGGCAATTCTTTGTGCCCAGCCAACCCCGAAGGGGCACAGTGGGAAGAGCAGGGGCTGCTGGGTAGGAATCCTGACTTCACTACCTCCTGGCTATGTGACCTTGATTAAGGGACATTATCTCCCCTGAGCCTCCACATCCTCACCTGTGAAATGGAGCTGGTTATACCCTGGCATAGAACTGTTGTGAAGATGGAATTGGGTGATGTAGCTCAGCCTCTGGCAGCTCCCGGCACGTGCTAGGTGATTAAGAGGCATGAGCCCCTCCACTCATGAAAGAACCCCCCCTTCTTTTTTTTTTTTTGAGACAGAATCTTACTCTGTCACCCAGGCTGGAGTGCAGTGGCATAATCTCAGCTCACTGCAACCTCTGCTGCCTGGGTTCAAGTGATTCTCCTGCCTCGGCCTCCTGAGTAGCTGGGATTACAGGTGCCCGCCACTGCGCCCAGCTAATTTTTGTATTTTTAGTAGAGATGGAGTTTCACCATCTTGGCCAAGCTGGTCTTGAACTCCTGACCTCATGATCCACCTGCCTCAGCCTTGTAAAGTCCTAGGATTACAGGCGTGAGGCACCATGACTGGCCCTAAAAAAACCCCTTTCTCCCATCTCCACTTCTCCCGAAGTGTCTCATCTTCTGGCTTCTTCTCCTTATTAAAACCTGCTCTTGGCCAGGCATGGTGGCTCATGCCTGTAATCCCAGCACTTTGGGAGGCTAAGGTGGGAGGATCACTTGAACCCAGGAGTTTGAGACTAGCCTGGGCAAAATATTGAGACCTTGTCTCTACCAAAAATTTTTTAAAAGCCAGGTGTGGTGGCATGTGCCTGTGGTCCCACGTACTGGAGAGGCTGAGGTGGGAGGATTGCTTGAGCCTGGAAATCAAGGCTGGAATGAGCCAGGATCGCCCACTGCACTCCAGCCTGGGTGACAGAGCAAGACCCTGTCTCAAAAAAACAACAAACAAACAAACCCTGCTCTCAGTGGGAATGAGAAGTTCAATGTCAATGCCACTGAAGTTTATGGGATGGTTCAGTAGCCAAGTGAGACCAGGACAGCATTTCTATGGAACCAGGAATCTCTAGAAAAAGAAATGAGATTCCATGATAAATTTCCATAGTACAGGTGGGAGGAGCTATCTGGGGATTGGTGTACCCTAAATACCAGCAAACAGGCTATTCCTTATCCTCGTTCATCACAGTCCAGTGCTGAATATACCCCCAACCCACACCCCCACAAGAGCTCAAACCATTTGTCCCTTTGCAGCCCTGGAGGCCCTTAGAAACCCAGGTTCTGCTGCAGGCACTGAGAGCTCTCAGCCCCTCGCTCCTCTGGACTCCCTTACTCATTCCAGGAACTGTGGAGGGGTGTGGGGAGGGAAGAAAGAGGGAAGAAAGGAAAGGAAGAAGCTGAGAGGCTGCCTGCCGCCCTCTGAGGGGAGGAGGTGATGGTGGCAGCCCTGTGATGGGCAGGATGAGGGAAGGTGGCTTGAGGACACAGCTCTGTGTGGGTCTCCCTGTCAACTGCCCCTTAAACTCTGACTGCAAATTGCCACTTAAATAGAACTTCCAGATTCACTCTGGAACACATGCCCAGGTTCCCAGAGGGCAGCAGGCCACGGTCTACTGCCCCCGCCTCTCAGAGAAGACACTGAGATGCAAAGAGAAGCTACTCAGACACCTGGTACAGGCACAGCTGTGGCTAAACCTGTTATTTTGACTCCACGTTGGTGTGTGACCGTTTGGACCAGCCCATTTCTGAGGTCCCCGATATAAGTCCCATTGGCTTCTCATGATGCATGATGGTTCTCAGATGTCATTCTCTGCCAACCACTGTGGAATAGACCCAATGATAGAGTGACCTTGAGTCTCCTGGATGGCTTGCCCCAGACTGACAGTCCCACCCACTCCGGGACCACTGCTACTCCTCTCTGCGGGGTGTGGCCCAACCTGGCCTCCCGCGGGCTCACTACTTCCTACCTGCCCTCCAGTGCATCTGGGGCGCTGGTGATGTCCAGAGAGAGACACAGAGTGAGGCTATTAGCTTGGCAGCAGACTGTGGAGAGCAGCTGGCCTAGGAGGGGATGCCCTGTACAGCATCACTGCTTTTTTTTTTTAAAATGTCCCATCAAAGCCCTTTCCCCTTGGCAAGGGAGTCACATGGTGACTTGTGTTCTCCCTTCTAGACTGCATGCTTCCCGAGGGCAGCTGGGGTCTTGTTCAGCTCTGATCCTTTAGCATCTAGCACAGTGCCTGGCTCACTGTGGGCCTCCATAGATGCTTAGGGGGTGGGTGGAGGTGGGAGGGAGGCAGAAAGATGGGAGGGAGGTAGAATGGGAGTGGAAGGGAGGGAGGGACTGGTGGATTGATGGATGTGACAAACAAAGGGA